ACAAATGTAAAACCACAATCACATTTTAGGTTGTGATATTCCAGTTAGAATTTTCGCAGAGCTTAGAGTTAATTGCGCCTGAAAGTGATGTTTCAAAAATAATATATTTGTTAAAACACATTTTATTAGTTGACTATATATTATCACCATCCAGTCGCATATCTAAGAGAGAATCCTCATTTTTTGCAATAGCCTGAAGCTCAAGTGTCAGTTAGGCGACAATTCGTATACTATAGTGGTTTTTAACAATAAATAGCTTATAAGGTCCTTAGGCATCGTGTTCTGTAGGGGGAATGCAATTCATATACTACAAATGACTGCCAATTGCTAAGAAGGTTGCAGAAAGCAAATAGACCTGCTGGCACAGAAGCCCCCAGTAAAGGAGAATGGGGGACTGAACTCTGGCCAACATCCTTTGTTTTACATTTCCTCCTGAGGGGCCTGAAAAAAGTCACACCCATGAACCCAGGTTAACATTCTTTTCTACTGACCCGACATTTTTAAACAAAGCTTCTCTTCCTTACCCAACTGCAAATTAGAAAATCTATTACCTATAAGTCCCCCGCTTCAAGATACCCTGACCTTTTAGGCCAAAACCAATGTGGAACCCCCAGGTTTTGATTTACAGTTTTGCCTGTAACTTCTGCTTTCTGAAATTTACCACTGCCTTTAAAAATCCTTACCTGCAAGCCATCAGGGAGGTCAGGATTTAAGCATGAGCTGCCTGATCCTCCTTGCTAGGCACCCTGCCAATAAACACTTTCCTTTCTCCCACTGCAAACCTCGGTGTGGATATCTGGCATTACTGTACAGGGTGAGTGGGCCCCAGTTTGGTTCGATAACAAATATTCTTCTTTGACATATTTTGAGATGGCCATTCAGAGGGCCTGCAAAAAGAAGTAGCCCTGCAAAGGGGCTAGATTTGCAACTGTAGAGAATCTGCATTGATGCAGCCAGGCTTTCTCTGCAGGCCCTCCCTTGTCCGGATCTAGAAAAAGTGAACTGAGTGTCTGCCACCTTCAAAGGTCTGAGAGAAACATTCACCATCTATTTTCTCCAAGGGCTACTACTACTGGTGAAGTTTCATCTGTATAACAAGACCTCCTTTGCTAGCCAGACCTCGTCTTCTCTCCCTCCCATAACTTGTTTTGCCATGCTCCAGGCCGCTATTCTTTCTGTATTCTCAAAATGGTATAAAAGTGTCAATCATCTGGCCATTTATTTGAGTTATAGTTTTGTATGGCTCCCGTGTACATTAATACACTTGTATTCCTTTTCTCCTATTAACCTGCCTTTCTGTTAGTTGATTTTTAGCCAGTCTTCAGAGGATGAAGGGGAAGTATATCCTTTGCCCCTTCACTGGCTTCACTGCTCTGGCAGTCTCATTTGAGTCCACTGCTTTAATAACCACTTACATCAAATGATGTAATAACCACTTAGATTTCCTTTAGGAATGTATAACAAGCAGTTCAAATGGCATTCATGATCTCTTACTCTCCTCACCAAACCAAAAACAAAACCAGAAACAAAGTGGCTCATGCCTATAATCCCAGCACTTCGGGAGGTGGAGATGGAAGGATTGCTTGAACCCAGGAGTTCAAGACCAGTGTGGGCAAGATAGCAAGACCCTGTCTCCATAAAACATTTAAAAATTAGTTCAGCAACTGGCATTAATAGTCGTGGTCTGTAGAAATACAAAAGCTAATAAAATAATCACATAATCATGCTTGAGTTATAAATAGGAAAGCCTTCTTTTGAAACAATATTTTCAGGATTGAAAGAACAAAGAGTATTAATCACAAAACAGGCAAAAATAACCAATAAAAATAGAAATAAATTTTCGTAAGATATGATATCAAAACTGTCAAGTGAGAACATCTTGTTTGAACTCACTTGACATTAAAATAAGATGAAAAGGAAAAAAATCTGTTTCTAGAGTCCTTATGAGAAGACAGAAACGAGATATTCCAAGAACAAGTAGAAGAATGTAGAGACAGATAAGAAAAATGAATTGAAAAGGAAATCACCAAACAGTTTCAGAAATTATATTTAAGTCTTACATGTAATATTAAAAATTTTGGAACTCCGGGCCGAAGTCCGGCGGATGAAGGGCGGAAGTAGAGTGTCTAATCCTGCAGTGATGGCGCAGGAAGAGGAAGATGTTAGAGATTACAATTTGACTGAGGAACAGAAGGCGATCAAGGCCAAGTATCCGCCAGTCAATAGGAAGTACGAGTATTTGGATCATACAGCGGATGTCCAGTTACACGCGTGGGGAGATACTCTGGAGGAAGCATTCGAGCAATGTGCAATGGCCATGTTTGGTTACATGACAGATACTGGGACAGTGGAGCCCCTCCAAACAGTAGAAGTAGAAATCCAAGGAGATGACTTACAGTCTCTTCTGTTTCACTTTTTGGATGAATGGCTTTATAAGTTCAGTGCTGATGAATTCTTCATACCCCGGGAAGTGAAAGTACTTAGTATTGATCAAAGAAATTTCAAATTATGATCAACTGGGTGGGGAGAAGAATTTTCATCGTCCAAGCACCCTCAGGAAACAGAAGTCAAAGCAATAACATATTCAGCAATGCAGGTCTACGATGAAGAGAAGCCAGAGGTTTTTGTGATCATTGACATTTAAGACACCAAAAAAGAAAAGACTCCTATGAATAACTGCTTTCTTTTTTTCCTTTTTTTCCTTTTGAGAAGACACTATGAATTAAATTCTACAGCATCTTTTGACACGTGGAAATTTGTAGAACAGAAATGTTTTAGTTAAAGTGTGACTTTCAGAAAGGGAAAGTCAGGGTACAGCCTTGGTCTGTGTTCCCCAAATAATCAGACTTTAAAGAATTCTTTAATCCCCAAGGGACAGTTATGGTCCTTTGATTCTCTGCTGTGGCAGTAGGTGCCTCATGCCTTTCCAGTGCAATGCAAGCCCTCCAGCCTCACCCCAGAGAGGAGCACTGATGTCAGCAGCAGCCTGAGGCTGAATCCAGGTTGAAAAAAGAGTAACTTGAAAAAATATATTTGCACACACAGAATTTTGTTTTTCTTCCAAGTTGGTTAAGACATATATTTTCTTTCTTTCTTTCTTTTTTGTTTTTGAGTTGGTCTTGCTCTGTAGCCCGGGCTGAAGCGCAGTGGCATGATCTCGGCTCACTTCAAGCTCCGCCTCCTGAGTTCACGTCATTCTCCTGCCTCAGCCTTATAGGTAGCTGGGACTATAGGCGCCCGCCACCATGCCCAGCTAATTTTTGTATTTTTAGTAGAGCCGGGGTTTCACCATGTTAGCCAGGATGGTCTCGATTCCCTGACCACATGATTCGCCCGCCTCGGCCTCCCAAAGTGCTGGGACTACAGGCATGAGCCACCGCGCCCGGCTACAAGACATATTTTCTATATGTACATCAAGGGAGGTTGTGTTTTAGGTTGCTATAGGACAGGTATCCTGTATTCCAGTTGGTTTTTATAGAGAAACAATTAGACTTCTCTAGATAGAGCCCTGATTTTCTCTTACGCTTTCACTTTTTTAAAAGCACTGATGATATTTCCTGTTTTCTCATAAGAAAAAGTCAATACTATGCCTTACAAAGAGACCTTTCCTTCTAATGTGGAATTTTATTTGAAAGTGAGTATATGTGTATAACTAGAGAATAAAAGGAGAATTTTTGAAAAATTAAAAAAAAATTTTTTTTGTTTGAAGAACAGTCTAAGAGGTGGATGGTTGAATGAAGCCCAGATTATGGATACACTCTCCCAGTACACCTGAATCTCTTTACTCACTAGTTGCCTAGCTTTGCGGAAGGCTCTTAGTTATAATAGCATCTAAGTGCCTAGAGAAGCAGGGTTTTGGACTTCCCTAGTTAAAGTAGTTTAGTGGGAAAGATTGAGGTACACCTAAGATTATTTGAAGGAAGGTGTCCGTACCAATGACCACAGGTTTGTGGCTCCGTCACTAACTGTTATGAGACCTTGCTTTTCCTATCTGTGCCTCAAATTTTTCTATGTCCAAAATGAGACTATTCATTGCTGATTCACATAATTATAAATGAGATTAAATAAATAAAAATACAATTTAACATTAAGGGTCTGAATGCAAGATATTATTACTGGGCTGTAGTTTGGTGACAATGAAATTTCTCCAATGCAGAGTGACCACCCCAGACACAAACTTCTTGAGGAGTCTCATGAGAACTTCTAGTCCTTCCCTTCTTCTAAAAAAAAGCCACATTTTCCTAAATGAATGGGAAATTTACCATACCCATTCTCCAAAATTTTGCTTAGCTTCTCATGTTTGATGATGGTGTCTAGTCCAGGATCTAGTTTGCCTTTTCTTCTTTTTATCATGTAACAATACACATTATATAAACCAATTTCGTTTGTAATAATAAAAACAGATATTTTAAGACAATTTTGCTTTATTCGTGTGCTCCTTCTGATTAATGATTTTACATTTAGAGAATATATTCATAATTAGTAACTAAAGAAAAAAATTATCTTACATGAGAACTAAAAATTATATTTTTTTGTAGAGAAAATAATAACGGGGAAACCCTAAAGGCAGATTTCCTTGGTGGTAACAGCAGAATATTTTTCATTTTTTGAACATTTTGCAAGGCATTTATAGTTCATAAAAAATATTAAGTGAGAAATTCCATCTTAAACCTTTTACATAGATTCTACTTTAAGAAAATCAGCTTATTTGGACCTGAATAGGCTTTGGGCTAGAAGAAAAATGAATTTTAAAAATTATTCTTTGAGATCTGTAGAGAAGATAGAACTGTTATGGGAACTATGAGAACCAGTGTTGCCTGGGGATGAAGATTATGGGCAAGTAAATGAGCCACCTGAGTCTCAATTTGTCATCAATAATGATAAAGTAAAGGAAGATCAAAAGAGATAATGTACACAACACACTAGAGACAATGCCTGGCAGTCAATGTTATTACCTGTATTATTATTATTATTGTCTACTGTTAAGAGTGATTGGAATACACAACAAAGCTAAGATTTATACATAAAGAGTATACATGCATATTTTCATCCTCCAATCATATATGTGCAAGGTATTATGCAAAATCCTGAAACTATAAAGAAGTGTGAGAAAAAATTATCTGCTCCCAAGAAGTTTGCCATCTTGGAGAAATTATAGATGTATTTTTTTTTTTTGCAATCAGAGATAGGCAGATATCAATAGGCAAAATGTCAACAAAGAGTGCTACAAGTATTTAAAGAAACTCATGATTCTAAGAATATTTTTAAAACATTTTCTGGCCGGGCGCGGTGGCTCAAGCCTGTAATCCCAGCACTTTGGGAGGCCGAGGCGGGTGGATCACGAGGTCAGGAGATCGAGACTATCCTGGCTAACATGGTGAAACCCTGTCTCTACTAAAAATACAAAAAATTAGCCGGGCGTGGTGGCGGGTGCCTGTAGTCCCAGCTACTTGGGAAGTTGAGGCAGAGAATGGCGTAAACTCGGGAGGTGGAGTTTGCAGTGAGCCGAGATCGCGCCACTGCACTCCAGCCTGGGAGACACAGCGAGACTCCATCTCAAAAAAAAAAAAAAAAAAAAATTTCTAAGTAGTGTTTCTTTGATAACAATATAGAATTTGAACAATTGTTTTAAAGTCATGTCTCTGAGTCTAACAGACTTGCAGGTTATAAAAGTGATCAAATAAATGTCCCGTACAGCTTAGATGGAAATCACCCCAACATCACTTATGTAGGATTATTTAGAGGATGAGATGTCTACTAAAGATTTTCTGCAAGTGACTGTCTTTTCAGAAAGCAAACAATCATCTTCAAAGCAAATAACATTCCTCAACTCTATAATCTGACTTCTAACTCCATAATTCCGGCACCGTGAATGAGACCTCCATGTCACTGAATCCAGGATACCATAGAACCAAGCCAGAGAGCTACATGGTCAGGGGCAATACTTAAAATCACACCAAGAACTGGCTCAGCAGGAACCACACTGATACCACTGCTGAACAAAGAAACCTAAATAATTTCCTCAACTATTTCAACTAATTATTTCAACTAATAATTTTTTCAACTATTAATGATGGGCACATAAATTCAATACAGGAAATAATGTCATAGGCCTTATCAAAGGCTTAGAAAAACATTTAGAAAAATGTTCATTGTTACTAAATCAATTATACTATATCATTTAAAGTACTGAAGTTGATCCAGCTGGTGTTCTGGAACTCTTAATGAACTAAGGACACCCTCTACCAAAATTGGCACCGTGTCATGTGGAGGTAAGCCTCACATGAATCTCATAGTTTATATGCAAAATGCAGAAAAATCCCTAAGTGTGTATTTCCCCATAACCTATAATTCGAAAAATTTTACTGAATATATTCCTTGAAGGTTTTTTCAGAAAATTTGTTATCTTCCTAATTCAAAAATAACTTTAGCAGTCTGTTTCCAAATAACTCGGAAGTTTGCCAAAGGCATAGTACTATGCAGCTGCCAATGTTCCTATAATTTCAGACTATTCTGCACTTCAATGGTTTAAATTATGTTCTTAGAAAGATGTGGAAGAAGGTATCACTTGAATACAAAATTCAGACATTATGTTGTACATTCAGGATCCCTATGTCCTTTTTCTGGTTCTCAAAAGGAAAAGACTGTTTAACTGCCATGAGCATGTCTCCCATCCATCCACTTGATACCCGGTATTGTCACATAAAGAACCCTGTATCTTATGTAAGACAGTACTGAGAGAAATAATATCTGTGGAGGAACTCAAATCAGCCCTCAATGGCCCTGAAACCATCAGTTTTGGGATTGGCTCACACACACGGGCAAAATAATCAACCCTCTTATATAAATTCATGTATTTTAATTTTAATCATTATATTATAAAATATTCTAAGTAATAATAATTTTTTTCAACTATTAATGATGGGTACATAAATTCAATACAGGAAATAATGTCATAGGCCGCATCAAAAGACTTAGAAAAACAATTAGAAAAATATTCTAAAATTTAATTATTAATTTTTCTTACTCTAAAACGTCGCACAATATGAACGTCAGTTTGAAGCTATTTGTCAGAATCCTCTGTAATATAAATTTTAAATTGGCCTAATAGTATAAATAACAAATGGGATTATTTTAACATCTTAATAATGATACCACCCTTCTTTTAAGATCTGTTATAATATGGCATGATTACATCTTATAAAGAAAAGCCTCAATGACTCTGAAAGCAAGTTATGATTAAATGGTTTTAGCTTGTTCTCCTTGAAAAGCCTCCAAAGTATATATGTTTCCAATAACCACTGTGTAATAACTGGTATCATAGCTTTAACAAGCATTTACCTTGCAGCATTTACTACTAGTCAACTTTTATAACAACACTATGTTCGTCATTTTGAGAAAAGTAAAATACGCTCTTTTCACAGATTTTAACAGCACCGATGTGTAGGCAAATTTCCTGTCAAAGTTAGGAGAACCTCCAATGAACAACTGAATTTAACCAGGCCTTCATTTTCATGCTTTATGAGTACATTATTGATTCAGTCATGCAGTTGAATCGATACCTTGTGAATCTTACTGCAATATCTTACACCCAGTTTTCCCTCATGTTTGCTAAAGCAGTAGTTCACAAATGTGGTCCTTGGACCAGTAACATTAGAATCATCTGAGAACTT